CAATTCCCAAATCCTTCTCATGTGTGGTTATCCCGAATCCACTACTGTTTTAAGGTGTAAGCTGCTTGTGCATTCTTTATCCCAAAGTACATAAACTTTGTATAAATTTCATGTCATCTGCCATTTGACTGCCCATCCAGTCCCCCAATCTATCTAAATCCCTCTGCAGAAAATGAATATCCTGCTCACATTGTATTACTTTACATGGTTTTGTGTCATCTGCAAACACTGAAACATGGCTTTCAAGATAATTTATAAATATCCAGATCATTTATGCATATGTTGCATAGGAGAGGTCCCAGAAAAGAACCCTGAGGGACACCACTTACCACTTCTGTCCAACTTAAAAATGTACCATTGCATGACATCTCCATCTTTAAGCCAATGTTCTACCCAAGAACAAGAATATTCATCTAGACCAATTTCTTTTCGTTTGAAAACTAACATATTGTTTTGATCCTGTGACAGAACCATATGTCTGTGGATTACATTTATATTATTCTCATTCATCTGTTTATTTGTGCCTTTCCCTGTCCGTATGGGTCCTGTGTTATTGCCCCTTTTTACCAAAAGACTTGCCGAACGGCCAGCCACCCAGCGGGGAAGTGTGCCGCTTGTTAACCTCTTGGCCTCATTAGAACATTGTGGTTAACCGCAAACACTTCCCCTTGTTAATGGTCTGCTGGGTGGTTGTCGTTCGTATGAACGCCCAACGGTGTTCGTCGACGATTCTGTGGAATTGAAAACATCTACTATTTTCATACGAACACAGCTGAAACCCGCCAACCTCCCTTCATCTGTTTCACCTATTCATACGAACGATGGGCTGTTCGGCACATTTTCATACGAACAGAGCCACCCTCAGATAGCCATCCCATGGAGCCCCTTCGTATAACGAAAGGACTATGTGAAAGACTTTGGCTCCATGGTGATTGAACTGTGTACATAGGATCTGAGCGCTGTTCGGTAACTTTGTGCGATCAGTTCCTAGCTATCTGGGGATACATTAAATGTGTGTTTTGTATTCGGTAGTTTAGAAGTTATATATATATTTTTTTTTTTTATTGCCATGTATAAAATTGAGTTTTGCCTCTATCCTTGGAGATAATTGAGTTACTTCCCAATTATCTCCAGGATAGAGAGGAGGGTCCTATACAGCTAAAGGGGAGTGATTATATCTGTAACACTGTGATTGGCTGCTGTACTATTCTTGTCACAGTTCTCCACCAGGTCCCCTAGGGGAGTGTTCACCTTGTGGAAGACCTGCATAAATACCAGGCAGGTAGCCCACATTAAACCAGATCACTGCTTGACCCTCAATACGGAGCCTCGTGTCGTACTTGGGGGGATTTATTCATATGGTTTTGTCCTGTTCGGCTGTGTGGAGCACTCGTATGGTGTGGAGTATTCGTATGGTTCCTGTTCGGCTGATTGGAAGGTTCGTGAGATGTCTCTGCATTCGTAAGGGGAACATCCTAAACGGCTTTAACCCCTTTGATACCCAGGGTGTCTTTACAGAGCCGTATCGAACGCCTTGGCAAAATCCAAGTAGATCACATCCACTGCAACACCCTGATATATACTTCTACTTACCTTACTTCTTTGTATAATGCAATTAAGCTGGTTTGACATGACCTATTTTTCATAAAATCATGCAGATTTCTGCTAATAACAATGTTTTCCCCAATTAAATTATCCCTTAATAGCCCTTCAAATACTTTCCCAGCAACAGAAGTTAAGCTCACAAGTCTATAATTTCCTGGCAAAGCTTATGAACCCTTTTTGATATCTACCCATAAAGCTTCCACATTGTCCCTGTCACTTTCCACTTGCTTCATACTCTTGTATGTAACCATTTAAATTCACTGCCCAGTTGTGTGTCTTATCCCTCCATGTTTCTGTTATACCTATTATGTCGTATTGCTTAGTGTATGCTATATAGACGCTAGTTTCCCCCATTTTATTATTTAGGCTCTTTGCATTAGTAAGCATACATTTATATATCATGCATATTATATTATCATGAGTCACTTGTACTTTATGTGAATTTTTATCACTATTACATTGCCCCTTTGTGTTGAGCTAATGTCCGTGTTGAATTATAGATAGTCAGAAATTCATGTCTACTTGTAGCCTGTTGAGATACTCAGCTATTCACTAAAGTGAATTCAAAGTGAATTTTGAATTTAAGGCCAAAGTAGATGAACTGCAAGTCTGGTTGACTTTTCACAATTTTGGCTATTTTCTCCTTAATATTGAAATTTACTTTTAAACAGCAAAGTTAATAATGCTGCGTGTGTGTGCTTGCTGCCTTGTCTGTTTGCCTTCTTCATACGACTCTGCTCAATTTCTTGCGCTAGTAGAAGCCACCTTAAACTGTGGTTTGTTATTGTTAGACCTGCTGTATGGTTGCATAATTTCTGTGGATATGTATATTTTTAATACCAGCATGAATGATTTGGGGCCTGCAGGGAGCCTAGCTAACAAGCTAGTTTAGTGTGTGGTTAGTTGTTTTTTTTTTTTTGACACATTAGACTTTTTCCATACTATTTGAAATGCATATTTTACAAAAATTCATGTGTAGAACATATTTAATTGACCGTGAACTACATTTTCAACTCTTTCAAAGAACATGACAAATATGACCCATAGGAAAGATGAGGAAACTAGTTCTTGCGATACAAAGTATGTATTATCCTTTAAAATGGAAGCTTCACCTATAATAATGCAACACAAATGTATTTTGTAGAAAGTAACAGTGATCCAATGGCCCGGTCTTGCATTAAAACTTTGACCTGTAATTTTGGATACATGGTTGCAACTGGAGGTTGTTGTTTGAATTAAGTCATTGTTCTAAGCATCATAAATATCAATAAGTTTAATCATAACCATTAAAGCCTGCTGTAGTGGTTGTGATTTCAGCAGTACACTGACCCAGTTTTCTGTTAATGGGGCAAACCGTTTGCCCTCTTATCTGGGTCCAACTAGGTGATGATGGTCCTCTAGTGGTTGGTGATGTGCATCCGATTTGTGTAGTGTAGTACCGCAGAAGCCATATGCCGATCCTGTAGTCCGGTCATTGGCTGAGAGCGTCAACTGATCGCGCTTAGCTAATGAACGTCCCTCTGTACATAAAAATGTGCACAGAGTTGACAATAGCTGGCCTTTTTTTCAGGTTGGTTAATAACACCTTAATGCCATTGCGGAGGTGGAGCAAAATGCTGCAAATACAGACTCCAGGCACCATGACCACTTGAAAATGCTGAATTGGCCGTAGCGCTTGAAGTAACTCTTATTATGTACATGGCATTAACTTGTCATTCTGATCCTTATTCAGATATGGCTAAAGCAAACCTTCCTATCTCAATTTCATGTCTGTGAGTACTTGTGCTTTAGCGATATCTAAGAGGAGCTGGACCGCCAGTGCCCTAGGGACCCTGGTATGGGTGTCAAAATGTTTGAAAATGGTTTAACACTTACTCAAAGGTCGGCAAAGGGGGACAGCATGCTGTAGTGGCTATGGTGCTTAGACTGCCTTTCAAGCTTTAGATTACCTTGTGAAATTAAAAAGGTTTTAATTTGCCACAAAGTAGATGATATAATTCACATGTTTTATGGATGACATCGTCCCTTTAAATACATTTGCTGGCAATTGGACCTTGGATTAAATTTGTTCTGGTACAGATTTTGTCATGTAATGTATGGTTCTTTATATGCTGAAACTGAGCATTAATTGTTAAGAAAACAAAGAAAACAAGATTTAAAAAACTATATAATAAAACTTCCTTATACTTGGATGCATTAACAGGTAAAATTATTTTCTGTATTGTGTGAGTCAGCCTTAATTTCGAGGTGTTTGAAAGAAGATATGAGAAGGGAGTTACACGATTTAGAGATTAGAATAGAATTAATTTGTACTTATTTCCTTCTCTGCTTTCATTTGGTTTCAGTCAACTCCTCCATGTCTGAAATGATAATCATGTTCTTATTAAGAAATCATGGCTGGCAAAATTTGCATTAATGAGACAGAAACGATAACCCTTCCATACACCCCAAATTATCCCACGAAGATCATAGGATAGGTCGTAGTTGACTTAAGTATAAATGATAATGTCACGCAATGTTCTCTAGCAATTGAATAGTTATTAGCAATTAGTAGACTTGTGCATGTAGTTGTAAGCAAATTGTAATAAGTCCACATTTGGGATGACTGGTGATTTGTCTGAAACCCTGAATTGCGAAACGCTGTATGGATGAGTCACAAAATAAACAAAATGGACAACGGACAAACTATTTTGTTTGTTTCGTGATTTGGAGTCCTGTCCATGGCACCAAAAATAAAAACCGATGGAGACAGCCTCTAAATGTTGATTTTTATGTCCAGATCAAGTGAGAAGTGAGCAATAGAGAGAGAAAAAAGGAGGACATTTTTTACATATAATTAATATATAAATATAGATATATTTTTTACTGCTCCTCCTTTTTTCCCTCTCTGTTGGTTACTATTTTTTACTTGAATTACGAACCAAATGTTCCACAAATATGCCTACCAGTGTACTGCAAAATATATACATAATATGAGTACACTCATTGACCAATTTACACACCATTGTGGTTTGTCTGAATGTTACTGAATAATACCAAACATGTGCTAGTGGGAGAAAAGGAGCATTTAAAGGCCAAGAAGTAGAGGACAAAACAGACTTAATTCAGTTAGTGCTGAGAGAACTCCTCTATCAAACATGTTCTCAATTTATGAACCCATACCTAATGGTAAAGCGATGAGCAGGTATCCGATAGATGACTACCATTGACATTCATAGTGTGACTGGTCTCATGCTTTGTTGCAGTAAAGAGCAGGAAGGCAACAGAAACCCAAATGCTTACCTGAGTATATAAAAACACTAATGATGTCCCGAACGGTTCGCGAACGGTTCGCCATGAAAGGTTCGCCACGGACTCATCATTGAGTAAACTTTGACCCTGTACCTCATAGTCAGCAGACACATTCCAGCCAATCAGCAGCAGACCCTCCCTCCCAGACCCTCCCACCTCCTGGACAGCTCACTAAGAATGCAGCTTCAAAATGGATGCTGTCCAGGAGGTGGGAGGGTCTGGGAGGGAGGGTCTGTTGCCGATTGACTAGAATGTGTCTGCTGACTGTGAGGTACAGGGTCAAAGTTTACTCAATGATGAGTCCGTGGCGAACCGTTCGTGGCGAACCGTTCGTGAACCATTCGGCGAACCATTCGGGACATCACTAAAAAACACCACTTCGTATTTCTGTGTCGGGATTGGCTTAGAACCTAAATGTACAGACTATAACACAATAAATAGACAAGGCAACGGAGCCAGAGAAAGCCAAGGTCAAGGACAGGAGAGATACAGATAAGCGTTATAACAAGCCACAGTCAAAGGATAGCAAAAATCAGGATAAATTAGTATACAAAATAAATTCGAAACCAGGAATAGGAGAAATAAGTCATGTGCTCTGGGGCTATAAGAACCACAAAGGGGAACAAGGAGTGGGAGAGGTAAGTATATATAGTTAGAGCTTAGTTTGTATTGGTCAATGTCATAAGTGAATTCCTTATGATTTGTGGACGGTAGAAATCCTTACTGGCATACTCCTCAACGTTATTTTTGTGCACTGAATTTGGTCCGACAAATTTGCCAATAAGACCTCAATTTGGTCTGGTGAATTAGCCATTCGGACCCAAATTTGGTTGCCCGCCGTGTGCGAGAGTTCAGCTTCTAAGAGAATGCGGGGGGATTCGGATAAGAGGTAAGCAAACCCGGCAGTCTGTCCTTTAACAGACACTTCTGTGTGTGATGTCTTCAATAGCAGTACTTCTAACTATTTTATAAAGATCACTTACCTATTTTATAAAGATCACTTACCTGTGACATGTTGGCGGCCTGCTCCATTTGTTAATGCAGCAACTGGAACTCATGATAGTAGAGTTCCCTGCAGTTACTACCTATACTACCTGTACTTCTGCTGGCCTGACTCCGCAAGGTTCTGATAACTCTGTTACAGTATGTGCTATTACTGTCACTTCCTTGGACATTTTTTGTACAATCTAAGAACTGGTAATATTACTTCATCTCAAATTATTATCCAGCAGATATCCTGTCCCCAGGTTTTCTGACTATTGCTTGTCTGGACTGGCCTTTGGGCAAACCAGACAAATGTCCAGTGGGCCTCAATGGTCATGGGCCGAAGGCTAACTATATTGTTAAACATAACAATTATTAAGAAATATATTTTAATATACATTTACTATAATTGTTTTTCACCTTGTGTCTCTCTAACTTCAATTTATAAATGTAATACTCAGAGAGGGTTTAATTGAAGTTTTTATATGGATTTATTTCAATGTAAGCAGGGCCGGCGCGTCCATAAGGCGGCACAGGCGGCCACCTTAGGGCGCACGGGCTCTGGGGGCGCAATATTTGAGTGACCGGCAGGAGGGAAGCTCTCCCTCCTACTGGGCCACCATCTCGACCCCCAGCGCAGCAGTGCTCTGATCAGGCGCGGCGAGGGAGCTCTAATCTCCACCCTCTGCTCTCTCGCGGGCTGTCTGTTGATGCCGTGGGAGCCAGAATATGACGTCATATTCCAGCTCCCACGGCATTAGTAGGCAGCCTGCGAGGGAGCAGAGGGTGGAGATTAGAGCTCCCTTGCCGCGCCTGATCACAGCACTGCTGCACGCCTCCCAGCAGCCCCAGGGACCAATCCATCATCCACACCAGCTCTCCAGGTAGGGAGGCTGGGTGGAAAATGTGTATTTATAATATAATTAGTGAATGTATGTGATGTGTGTCTGTGAGTGACAGAGTGTGTGTGTCTGTGACTGATCATGTGTGTCTGTGAGTGAGTGTGTGTGTCTGAGTGACTGAGCGTGTATGTCTGTGAGTGAGTGTGTGTGTCTGAGTGACTGAGCGTGTGCCTGTGAGTGACAGTGTGTGTGTGTGACAAAGTGTGTGTGTCTGTGAGTGACTGTGTGCATCTGTGTGTGTGTCTGTGAGTGACAGCGTGTGTGTCTGTGAGTGACAAAGTGTGTGTGTCTGTGAGTGACTGTGTGCATCTGTGTGTGTCTGTGAGTGACAGCATGTGTGTCTGTGAGTGACTGAGTGTGTGTGTGTGAGTGAGTGCATCTGTGTGTGTGTGTGTGTCTGTGAGTGATTGTATGAGTGTGTGTCTGTCAGTGTATGATGAGTGTGTTTGTCAGTGTATGAGTGTGTGTCTGTCAAATCAGTGACAGACACAGTATGTTTGTCATTGAGTCTGTGTGTCACTAGTAGTGTGTCTGTCAATGAGTGTCAATCAGTGTGGGTCTGTCAGTGTCAATGAATGAGTGTGTGTCAGATCAATGAGTCTGTGTCTGTCAGTGATGTCTGTGTGTTTGTCATTGAGTGTGTGACTGTCACTGTGTACAGAGTGTAGCGGAGCAGAGCGCGGTACAGGAGCTTCTGTTTCCTGTACCTGGCCAGACTGACAGGAGGTGCTCACAGAGAGAGCACTCCCTGTCAGTCCAGCCGGGTACAGAAAACTGAAGCTCCTTTAGGGGATCTGCTCTGCTTGGCAATGCAACAATAGAGGTAGGAGGCACACCAGGAAGCAGAGTGTGACCACTAAAGGGGTGTGGGGTGCACCAAGGGACAGGGAGGGAATGGGAAAGAAACACCAAGAGACAGGGAAAAGAGGGGGGAGGGGAGAAGAACACTAAGGGACAGGGAAGGGAAGGGACCACTAATGGTCGGGGAGGGGAGAGGGGCTGGTTAAGAGGCACATAGGTGAAGATGTTTTTTTTTGGGGGGGGGGAGAAGGCATCTTCGCCTATGTACCTAAAAATCCAAGCACTGGCCCTGAATGTAAGCAAAGTTACTTGAGATATACAGGTGATGTACCTACACCATGGCTCAAAGTTACTGCAAATGCAAACAAACATTCACATTACCTACACACACAATCAAACGTTACGTGTACTCCAGCCTCATTTTTCACAGTCGGATCATTATAAAAACGATGTAGATAAATTAACTGACAGCAAAAGATGTTTTGGATTTTTTCATCTTTCTTAAACCGTGTATAAATTGGAAGCTCGTAAAGCTGTTTAGGGTGGGGGCAGGAGTGCTTTTCAATGTCATCCCCCCCCTATAAAAATGATCTAATGTGGATGATCCAAATTATGGCCTCTTCACTCAATATATTTGTGCATTTCAATTATATTTGTGGAAAAATGTATTGCCCTTGGCATCTTCTAGGTTAACCTAAAAAAAAAAATGCAGACTGGTTACATGTTCATTGTTACCATTCATGAATGTTATATAATTGAAAACAGTTTGTTTGTTTGGTTCCATGCCTAGTGTTTATTCATTGTTCTCTCCAGCAGTGCTGTCTTTTTTTTTCCGTTTTTCGTTTTTAGCAAATATGAAGAATGAGAAGTCTGTAAACTTGGTACTGTCTTTGTTTAGGGGCACAATCAAGTTTAATTGTATTATAGAAGCACAGCAAGGAAAACCATAGCTATGACTAGTGTCAATCTAGTATTGAGTCTGCAATTGAGTAGAACGAAAATTGTATCTGTTACCTTACACGTCGTTTAACATTGAATACATTATCTAGTTTTTACTTAGTTTAAAAGTTACACTACTCTCATTTATTCCTTCATTCCTCCTGTAGATGGTTAGGGAGGAGTAACTTTAACTTTCCAATCCTTTTTTATGAAAATTATTTTCATACTTAGAATGCCCTGTTGGACATTACTGACTTACCCTTTGTTATTTTGCTTAAAAAAAAAAAAACCCTATAAGAATGAGCATTAACTTATAACCTATAAACCAGCTCAGAGTGAATCTCTACAAACTGGCTTCCAAAGCCTCATCACTGACTCCCTCACGAGGTCCAATCAAATATTTCTTATAGAGGGGATGGAGGGAGTAAAAGTGAAGAAGGGGGTATAAATGCAGGATTGCTGCACATACATATTCCTGCCACCCAGGGCTGGTACTAGACTATATTGCCAGCTTTGTGTCCCCCAATCCCTTTGTTTGTCTCTTTTTTACCCCTTCCCCAGCCCCTCTTTGTGTTTCTCCCCCAAAGTACCTTTGTGTGCATCATTCTCCCCATTCCTTTTTGTGTCTCCCAATCCCCTGTGTGTCTCTCTCCCCCAGACACTTTGCACATCTCTTTTTCTTCCCTAGTGTTTCCTTCCAGGCTCTCTGTGTGTGTGTGTCATTGTCCCCTTCTCCAGCCCCTCTGTGTGTCTCTGTGGCCTCTTCCCCAGTCCCTCTGTGTTTGTCATTGTCACCTTCCCCAACCCCTCTGTGTTGATCATTGTTTTTTCCCCAGTCCCTCTGTGTGTGTCACTGTTCCTTTCCCCAGCCCCTCTGAGTGTCTATATGTCCCCTTCCCAGCCCCTCTGTGTGTTTAATTTTCCCCTTTCATAGACCCTTTTGTGAGTCTTTTTCTTCTGTATCCTCTACCCAGTCTGACAGGAAACTGTTCATTGCTCCCAGTGAGCACTTCCTGTCAGACACGGTAGAGGATACAGAAGATCCTCTACCCACTGTCTGCGTGGCTACACTACATGGAGTGACTGGCAGGAGGGGGAACACAGTGCTGTCCACTCTAATGTCTAGAGCCTGGACATTATGCCCTAAATCGATGCTTCCTAAGTGGCTGCCTATTTTGCCTAGTGGTTGTGCTAGCCCTGCTACCAACATGACCACTTCTTAAAGCAAAAGTGGTTATGGTGATTGGAGTAACTGCAAAAGTGGCCATGGTAAGTAATCAAACAAGTACTCTCTCAGGTAATACAGATCTGGTATTTTTTATTTAAATATTAAGGTGTACACTTTTTATATCACAAACCTTTCAGCCTCTACATTTCTACATTTCTATTTTTTACTGGTTATCATTTTTAGATCCTACGTCTTCTTAGCCAATTGCATGGTTTTTAAATCCTGATGCTCATCAATTCCTCTGCATACAGTATGTGATATCTTAGGTGATTGTTTAAAACAATGGTATTTATACAGGTACCACTTGTTATGTGTGCTACATGCGTGTTACAAAACTACTTTACACTGTTCAAAATATTGCGGAAGTGCTGTTTATGCACTTTGCAGCATTACCTTACAGAGGGAAG